CTTAGTCTTAGAAAAAAATTGAAGAGGATATTTGGTTTTAATATCAAATACCGTAATTGCTGATGACGCTAAACATTATTTATTTAAATCACACTCTGTAGACACACAACCACAGAATAACTGTACAATGTAAATTAAAATCAATTAGGCAAAAAGCACTTTTTTTTCTTAAGCAACTCGACGTAAAGGTGTCGTTTTGTTCTTGAACCGGAGGTCTGAGTTTCGCTTCTAAGTAGACAGTATTCGTTGCCATTAGTCTAATTGCGCGAAGTAATTTCTAATTAAATGAACAGAAACTTTGTTATAAGTTTTGCAGATTTTAATACCAGAATTAGTAAATATTGTAGGTGCTGTAAAGGCCAGAAAAACTGGATTGTAACTGACAGCTTGACGCAGGTGGAAATAATTCTTAAAATAATTAAAGTTTGATGGTGGGTGTCGGCCGACTTTTTTTAGTTGCAGTCTTCTTGAAAGTACTTTAATATTTAATCGCGATTTAGTTTAGTTGAGAAAGTTTAATAAAGTTGACAAATTCAGGTGCTAGATGGGGTACTTAAAGTAAACTTGATAACTTAGTGTGTCAACGAAGTATCGACACTTTTAAATGTATTGTAAATGAATAAATAAAGTAGATCTCTCGATCTTGATTCTGAACTTTAAAGTTAAAAGACACTTTAAAGTTGTGATGGCTGATTTTCATCTCTCACTGTAGGTGAGGCTAATTTTGTTATCAACAGAAAATAAACTCTTAATGTCTTAAAAATTCTTTATATAGTATTTTTGAAACAAACTGTAATTTATTGTAAGCAATTCCTGGCAGACAACAGAGAGACTAAGAAAAAATCTTTCTTAAAAATGAAAACAGACGTTTATCGCAAACAGCACGTTCCAGTACGAGTATTTCCCCTGGCTATGCTCGAGAAGTGAAAAGAAAATCATAAAGAAGCTTACATAAATACCTACGGTAATATCGCTTGCATAATGCACATAAAGCTCCGACAAATCCTCTAAAACTAATCGTTCCTAACCCTTTTCTCCCCAACGCCGCATAAAAAATGCACCCTAAATAAACAATTAGCGAAGTCTCATTAAGGCACCCCCACGTTGAACGTGCAGCTCGAAAATAATAAATTCATCAATTAACTCTCACTTAATAACCCCGAGCTTTAGACGTCCATTATCCGGCAAAAATCATAAATTCGTTCAGCGGGAGGGACAATCTGGTCTACTTTTTGAATAATTATGTATATATTTTTTATTACCATAAATGCTCCATCCAGCGCGTTCACCACACTCGCTTCCTGTTCATTTCGACGAAGATATAAGGCGGCGGCAATAGACATTATTAGGATAATGAAAGCTTGGTAAAGTAATAATAATAAAGTCGTAATGTGGGAAAGAAGCGTAATGGGAAGTATTTACTACTTTCGTTGCGTTATTACATTCGGGAAAAACGCTTGTGATGGAAAGTCGTTATTTTTAAATATGTGCTTTCAGTCGCCCGAAAGGTTAGTAAAACGTTTTTTCAGAGCGGACACGTGTAGACAAACTTTTTTGGTTAAAATGAAATTTTTGAAATTTGACAAACGTAATAAGGTTTAGTAGCTTAATTTTAGTCAAGTTTGCAAAACGTCGTTCTTTACAGACTTTTGTTGTGTTTGTTTTACATTCTATTCCATTTTTTTTTGGTTTTTTAGTTTCCTGTTTGCAATTTTAAATTTTTAAATTTTCCAATTTTTAGTTGCAATTCTTCGATTTAGGTTTCTCGAGTTTCCAATGTTTGATTTTTCAATTTTTCGATATTTTATTTATTCAAATTTTGATTTGCAATTTTTCGATTCAGTCCTTTTTTCTTTATTTTTACAATTTTTAGATTCTTCAATGTTCAAATTTTATAATTTTTTGTTTTATTCAATTTAAATTTTTTCAATTTTTCTTTTCTTCAATTTTTTCATTTGCAATTTTTCCAATTTTTATTTTTTTTGTTTCCCCAATTTTACGAATATTTTAAAATTTCCATTTTTAAATTTTTCGCTTTTCCAGTGTTCCAACTTTTGGATGTTTCAGTTTGTAGTTTTTGCAATTTTTCGATTTACAATACCAAGATTTTTCTATTTTTAGTTTTTTCAATTTTTGATTTCTTCAATTTTTCGATTTGCAATTTTTCGTGTCGGTTTCTTATTAACTTTTTCAATTATTGCTCGGGCTCCAGTTTTCTGGTTTTATAATTTTCATTTTTTGAATTTTTCGACTTTTAGATGTTTGAATTTTTTCGTTTTTATAAATTTAGATTCTTCAGTTTCTGGATTTTTGAATTTTTCGTTTCTTCAATTTTTGAATTACAGTTTTTCTAATTATATATGTAATGATATAATGATTATAATTTTAAAAATTTTACACTTTTTCACTTTTCGATCTTTAATTTTTCGATTTCTTGATATTTAGTTTTTCCATTTTTTGATATTTCAATGTTAGTCTTTCGACTTTACAGTTTTGACGGTTCCATAGTTTTTCGATTTCATAATTTTTGGTTTCCCAATTTTTCGATTTTTAAATTTCTCGATTTATTGTTTTTCAATGTTCCGAATTTTCATTTTTCCGGTTCTTGGATTTGCAATTTTTCGAATTGCTAATTTTTACTTTACAATTTTGACGGTTTTATAACTTTTTGATTTTACAATTTTTGCTCTTCCAATTTTCCGATTCATCAATTTTTCTCGATTTTTTGTTTTTCAATATATAAAATGAAAACTTTGGAAAATCTAGAAATTGGAAATCAAGAACTTGGAAAATTGAAAAAACGAAAAATTAAAAACTCGAGATATTAAAAAATGAGAAATTCAAAAATCGAAAAACTGCAAAATCGAAATATTGTAAAATTGAAATATTTATAATTAAAAAAATCGGGCACTCGGATAATTGAGAAATCCAAAAATTGCAAAATTGGAAAATCAAAGATTAAAAATTTGAAGAATTGCACAAAAAGAAATGAAAACAGGTAAAATTGTGACATAAAATCGAGAACATGAAAATTTAAAATAGGGAAAAAGAAAAATGAAAATCAAGAACTTGAAAAATTGAGCCAACGAAAAATTGAAAAATTTGGAAGTCGAAAAACTGAAAAATTGAAAAAATTAAAGTTGCGAAAGTGAAAAATCTTGAGGTTATGTCACTCCCTTATATAAACGAAAAAGTTTAAAATGAAAACTTTGAAAATACAGAAATTGGAAATCGAGAATTTGGAAAATTGAAAAAACGAGAAATTGAAAAATTGAGAAACTTAAAATCGAAAAACGAAATATTGTATAATTGAAATATTGAGAATTAAAGAAATCGGACACTCGGATAATTGAGAAATTCAAAATTTGCAAAATTGGAAAATAGAGGAATTGAAAAATCAAAGATTAAAAATTTGAAGAATCGAACAAACGAAAAATTATAAACTCGAAAGAAACATTAAAAAAACAAAAGAAATGAAAACAGAAAAAATTGTGACATAAAATCGAGAAAATGAAAATCAAGAACTTGAAAAATTGGGTCAACGAAACATTAAAAAATTTGAAAGTCGAAAAACTGAAAAATTGAAAAAATTAAAGCTGCGAAAGCGAAAAATTTTGAGGTTTCAGTCATTCCCTTGTGGAAATATCTTTCAATTCCTCTAAACACTGTCCTTCTTTATCCCGAAACCGGTATCAGAAAATAAAAAAGATTTAAAAGGTGAAGAGACAAAGCGTTTTATTAGAATATAATTATGAAAATGAAACACTGAAAAAATGGAAAAATTGAAAAATTGAAGAAAATAAGAAAAACAAAAAACTGTGATATCAAAAAAATTGGTCGGAGACAAATGAATCCAGATTTTATTACCACCACTGTAGAGTCATAATATTTTGCATATTTCAGAGAGGATTAAATTTATTCGGCAAAATTTTGAGATGACGTCATCAAGTTTTTGGGAGGGAACAAACGAACAAATATTGGCTAACGATTTACTATGCTTACGGTAACTTTGAAAACGTTTGCAAGATTTCAGACCATTTGGTTTTGCAATTCAAAGTTAAATTGCAAAATGTTATATAATTTTGATTTTTTTTTCCAAAAATCTAGATCTGCAGGGGGAAAACTCAACACTAATTCATATACTAGAAATGCAGGAGTATTTCATTTTATAAAAATAAAATCAAATTTACTATTGTATGTTTTGGAGATGACGTCATCAAATTAGCTAATTTTTGGTTGGCCTTTTGACATCTACATGAACATATTATTACATTCGAAATTTGACAACAATCGGTCCATTAGTTTTGAAGATTACTCTAGGTGTCAGGAATGGTCAAGAAAACATAATAGTCGGCTGATTGACTCGATTACAATACCTCCTTAGCTTACGCTCGGAAAGTCTCCCGTTTCCGTCCCTCTGTCGCCTGTTGTCTGTCTTTGGTCCATCTTCTCCTGTCGTCCTCCTTGTGGGCAGTTTTTCCGGCAACTTAAAAGCTCACCCTTTTTCAAAGTTACCTACAGTGAACTTCCCTCGCCTCCGAGCACAAACAGTGCAGGGGTTGCAGTCGGTTTATGAAATTTTACCGAAAACAAAAACCACGTTCTGAGTATAAGAATAAGCCAAGACAAGAAACAAAGTGCGGAATGAATGGGAAGATCATCACAGCGTGTGTCAAACCCTGGCAAAACCTCATTAAGACACCCCTTCACGTTTGACGTGCTCCCGAAAATAATAAATACATCAATTAACTCTCACTTAATAACCGCGAGCTTTAGACGTCCATTATCCGGCAAAAATCATAAATTCGTTCGTCGAGAGGGACAATCCAGTCCACTTTTTGACTAATTATGTAATATTTATTACCATAAATGCCTCATCCAGCGTGCCTGCCGCACTCGGGCACCTGTTAATTTCGGGCGCATGTGTAAATTGTGCAGGTTGGCGGCGGCGGTGTTCTTTTGTGCGAGTCTTCCTTCGGCTCAGTTTCGCTCCGAGCGCCGGTTCGGTAGTACGCATCCGATCCGAACGAACGAGCCCGCTGCATTACGACTTCGTATGCGCTCACCTTAACATGTCCCGCTGCTTTTCGAGCCGCGATTTCCGCGTCGCGCCGATCTTTTAACCCCGTTTCGGACCTAAAGGCCGCCCCTCAGCCGGACTGTGTCACAGATTGCTAAATTTAGCGGCTTGTCGAAAATAGAACCGCGCCGATAAGTCGAATTCCGGACAATTTGCACCATAAGCGCGAGTTGCGGCCGACAATGTGAATGTCACGTGGGTTGTCAATGTTTTGGGTTGTTCGGTGTAATTGTGGACTGTTCGAGATGGGCGGCATGAAGAGCTTTTTCGCCTGTTTGATCCTGGTCGCGCCTATTTTCCTACATTGTGCAGGTGAGGTTATCTCGTTCCGCAGACGCTTTGTAGGATGTTTATCGGAAAGGGTGAATTTATTCGGGCGAAAGTTTCTTTTCCCGATTTTTACCCGACTTATTTTTAAACTGACTTGCGTTTTATTTTCGAGACCTGACTCATGTTTATTTTGGCCAGACTCACTTTGATCAATTATTAAACCCGTTTAATTAAAGCGCGATTTTGTGAAAAACCGACCCCATTTTTTCGACGTTCTTCACCGAAAATTCTTTAATTAAATTCTTCGACCGGCGGAATCTGCAAATTCGGAATGTGCGAATTTTAAACGAGAGACGGTTTTTAAATGTTACAAGCACGTGCTCGTGGTTCTTGCGTACTGAAAATGTTTTTTTTCGGAAATTCGGAAAGGCTTGTAGAGATGGGAGAGGGCGTAATTTGCACCGAAATTATTTTCGTCACGTTTTAAAAAACGTCAACGATAATAATAATTATGAACGAAGAGCTGAATCACAACCCTGAGCCGCTGGATGTTGTGAAACACAAATAGGTTGGAATCTTGGCAAGGATCGTGGAAATTGTGCAAAATTATCTTTGTTATCAGAATTCAAAATACGGATGATCGAACTGAATGCTGCAATAATTGTGACATCTTATAATTTTTTGTTACACTCGGTGTTGTAATATGAATAAAAAAAAACTTTCGTCTGAGTGTTAATGAATCATTTTTATAATTAAGTATTTTTTCTTTGAAATATAAAACTTGTATTGACGTTTTACCCGGTTTAAATCCGAAAACTTGTTAAAGTGGATGAAATCTGTCAAACTTGTTTTTTTTTTGTTACGATAGTGAGGACATTGTCCTATGGGTTTTTTGTCCAAATTCTGTTTTTTCTGTAACAAATTTCTGGCACTCTGTCAAGTTCACTGCATGAACTATATAACTTGAGGAGTTTTCGACATACTTACGGAAAATTTATACAGGATCTTTAAATTTTTCATTTTAGTAGTAACCTTAAAACTAATGTTCATACGTAAATAGACTAAAATAGAAATCTCACTAGAAGTATGCACCACCTAAAAATAGAGGACTCGTTATAAACCGATAAATTTAATCCAGAGTAATTATTTTTTCGTTTGTTCTATCGATTCCCAGGGGCTGTGGAGAATTAAAAAAATGTGACTTGATAGCAAAATCTCATTCAATAATATTTCTTGTCTACCACGTTTAGAAAATGCATAACTAAAGTTTTATGTTGTTCTTGAGAAAAGCAAGCTTAAAATTCTTTAGTTATTTAACATTTTACAAATTGTTGACAATTCTGGCATTATGCTTAAATCCGAAATATAATCAAGCTAGATATAATATTTCTACAACAATTGCACATGTGTGATAGCCAACTTTCATTCCTCATCACAATATTCCTGCCCTCTCTATGCTTTACTACAAAGTTTGTAACATGAGGAGCCTCTAATATCCTTAGTGAAAATATACTTAGTTGTTTAGAGGATCTTAGAACTTTACGGTCCGATCATGGTTTTAAAACCAACGTTCGTACGTTATTATATTTTCACAAAAATAATGAGTCAGGACACTGTATAAAACTTTAAACTAATACCAAACTTCTATAGTTTAATTACCAAAATCGTTCCACTCCTTGTTATGTCTACGTTTCAAAGGAAAGGTGAATTTCATCTAATATCCTGTTACAGCTTTTACAGTCTAACAATTAACAACGCATTTTTTATGTAGCAAACGTCGTTAAAATTTCCACTTCTTAAAAATTTCAAACTCTATAAAACCGAGTACGTCTCTTGAAAACCGTTTATAAACAACTTTTTTTATCGTGTAGTCATTTGCGTATAATTAAATTCAGCTGAAAAAAGCTGTGTTTACTTTGCAAATTGACGAGATATTTTTTGTGAATATGTATTTAATCGAAAAATAGTTTTTTGTGCCATATCGATACAGAAAAGTATTTAGCGTCCTTGTGTTACTATCGATCCGGATTAAAATTTCAGTTTCATCAGGACTATGCCACAGACTACTGAGTTAGCGGCCTGTTTAAAAATAGAACTGCGCCGAAACTGGCCATTTGCACCATAAACGCATGATGTGAATGTCACGTGGGTTATAAATCGACTATACAAAATTGACGTTACAAGATTTCTGTATACGGTTATCTCGTCACGCAGACGCTTTATGTTTATCGAAAATTAACGGGGTGAATTCATTGGGGCGAGAAACCCCCCTTTGTCCCAATTTTTACCCAGCTTATTTGATTCTCGTTGATCAGACTTACCTTAATCAGTTGTTATTAAACCTGTTTAATTAACGCGAAAACCCCATTTTTTTCGGCGCTCTTAACGGAAATGTCTTTAATTAAATTCTTGGAATTTGTGCGAATTTTCGCCGTGACAGTTTTATTGTGCTTATGTTTCTTGGGTATGATTTATTGCTTTTTTTTTAAATTCATTTGTTATTAGTCGTAATGGAGATGCGAGAAGCCGGACCGAAAGTATTTTCGTCACGACTTGTTTCAAAAATCGTCAACGATAATAATAATTATGAACGAAGAGTTGAATCACAACCCTGGATGTTGGGAAACACAAACGGTGTGGGGTTTTGGCAGGGATCGTGGAAATTGAGCAAAGTTATTGTTGTTATCAGAATTCAAAATATGAATGATGCAGTTGGTCATATTTGTGTTAGTTTTGGTCTTTTGATTTTTTGTCCGAATTTGATGGGTGGAGCAGACCATATGCGACACCCGCTGTGGAAAATTTTAAATTTATTGCGATCTATGTTGGCATAAATTTAAATGTTAAAGTACCTAATTGATGAATATTATTTTTAATTCCAAATACATACAAAATTTATTGCAGTTAATGTAAATTGTTGAAATTGTTTGCGCTATGTTTAGTTTGTAGCTAACAAGATACTTTTTGAAAATATTCTTAGTCGTTTAGAGGATACTTTAGGTTTACGGCCCCATCGTGCTTTAAAAACTAATCTTCCTACGTTATTATATTTTCATAAAAATAATGCAGTGGAGCAGTGTATAAAGCTCTAAAAAGATTTGATCCCAGCTAATACCGAACCTCTATAGTTTAATTATTAAAGTCGTTCCTTTCTTTGTTCATATCCAAGTTTCTGAGAAAACTTTTACAGAATTTACTTAATATCCTGCAACGGTTTTTGAGTGTGTGTTTTACAAAGTCACAGAAAAAAAAAACATTCTTTATTCAACAAAAATGGCTGAAATTTCCACTCTTAAATATGTAAAACTTGAGGGTTGCTACTGTACGGAAAAATAGGCCCCCAGTTTCCGTCTGTCTGCCTGTTATCTGTCACCTGCGTCGATAAAATTTTGCATGTTAAATGCTACTTAAACTTTATATAATAATATAGATACTTCTGTACTTGTGGTTTATGAATCCGCCAAAGCGAAGCATCGGTGCAGACCTCGCAGTATGTTGCAACAGAAGCAAAACCTTGGCTTTCTGTAATTAGAACTTTTTACAGCGTTGATATTCGTTTGTTATATGCAAGTCTAAATAAAATGACTTCAAAGTACACGTCCCTTTTTGGTACGCGAACCTAATTAAAATTTTCTGTCTTGTCATCAGTGGTTTAATCGAAAAACTTTTCAACTAAAAGAGCCACTTTGTAATTTCATAATTAATCAACATCTACTCCGTTTGTATTAAATAATTTCTCCTCAGTCTACATACATGCAATGCAATTTTAAAACTTTGTTCTCTTGGATACCTTCCCATCATTATAATGCAAGACAGTTATAATCTAGTTGCATTGTGAATAAAATATCGCTTACGAGAACTGGAATAAAATGATATGCATTTGTTCCCGCAACGATTTTCTTATCGAGTGTTTTTTTTTCGTCGTGATTTAGTCCCAAGTAGAACTCGACTATAAGAACGTTAAACCTTTTAACGTGTTGCATTGCGGGTTACGAAACTACGTCTAAATTGTAAATCAGGACTTATCGTCTGGGTTATTGTGCGAAAACATTAAGTTGACGTAAAGGCAAAACATAAAATTTGTTGGCTCGTTCCAACCCTAAGAGAAGGGTTCGAAACGTCTGCACCCTTTAAATGACGGGAAGTTCTTCCGCTCGAAACAAACGATTCGCATACTTTATAGTAATTGTCGTTAAAAGCAACATTTAAAGCCATTTTTGTTGTTGTAGTATTTCCTTTGAGAATTCGTTGTCAACGCGACTTCATTAAGAGGATTTTTCGGCCGAATTTTTGTTTAAATTACTGTTTTCAAATTGGAAATTCCGAATTTTGTTAACGGAGCATTTGATGAATTTTCGTTCGGTTGATTAAATTTTTCCCGACGCGAAAATTGCACTTTTTGAATTACAATTCGATGAAACCGCGAGCTGGTGTTTATCACACGAAATTAACGTTGTTTTGTCTGGAAAGTGGATTTTTATTGTCGATAATTTTGCTTTTGAGATGGAACAGCTCTGGTTCTATTTCACTTGAAAAAGTTTATTTTTGCGTGCAAACTCTGGTAATTGCTGTTTCATGTTCGGTGTATTGTGCGTAGGCTTTGCACCTAACAATAGTGTTTTCGCGATTTTCGCCCATTTTCCGGTTGGGTTTAAGCCGTCAAAAATATTTCCCAGTTTCTGTTCTTTTCCTCGGCGCATTTAAATTCAACCTAAATTTATATAAATTCAATTCCTTCCAGCGATTTTAAACTCGGCACCAATTTAAACGCATTTGCATATTTTTTACACAAATTTTCGTTCGTTCCGAATAAGAAAACTATGGATTTAACATATTTTTTCTACTTCTTTCACGTTCCGACGTAAAAAATCACAAAAATGGAAATTTCGCAGTAGCAGCACGAGTGAAATTATTTTGTCTGGGATTTGTTGTAATTCCGGTGCAACACATTAAAGCACTTACAGGCGACGAAATAATCTCATGCAAAATTCAAATCGAAACATCCCCATATTTCTCCCCAGGAGTACTTAACTTATATGCAG